GAGGGGTGGGGGGGCGGGCCTCGCGGGAGGCCACCGCCGGCGGCGCCGCGGGAGCGGGAGCGGCGGTGCTCTGGTTCGAGAGGAGGCCGACGCCAGCCTGTGGGGGGCGAGGAGGGAGGGAGGCAGGGCGTCATGAGCGCAGACGCTGTGCTCTGTCGAGAAGGCCTCATTCCCAGACCCCCTCGGGTCATGAAATGATCACGACGGCAGGTTTTTCGCCATTGTCGGCCCGTGGGGGGGCCCGTCAAAGAACGACTGCGAAAGAACAAAACGGCCACGGGGAAGGGGTCCAGACATCTGGGGGTCGACGTTGTGCAAAAACCACGACGTCGGGGGTCCAGGGAGAGGAAGGGAGGGTGGCATAAGCGAGGACGCTGTGCTCTGTCGAAAAAAGCCTCATTCCACGGCGCTGCATCGATGATGAGCAAAACTGCGACGCCTGGCACCGAGCACCACGGCAGTAGCCGCAGGCCGCAGGGACGGTGTGCGGGCAGAGAGCCTGAACAAGCCAGGGCGCCTGAGGCACTGGAAAGCAACGAGGAGGGAGGAAGGAGGCAGCATGGAGCATAGAGGTTGGCCTGTCTCACAAGAGGCAGTCCCGAAAAGAGACGGGGTGCAAAAGCAAGCGCAGGGCAAGGAAGAACCGCAATGCGGGCAGCAATCAGACGCACCCGAGCGCGAAGCACTTCTTGCAATAGGGCCATTCGGGTTGGACAAGGCCCTGGCATGCGACGAAAAAGCGTAGGAGGAGGAGGAGGAGGAGGAGGAGGAGGAGGAGGAGGAGGAGGAGAGGATAAAGAGGAGGAGGAGGAGGAGGAGGAGGAGGAGGATGAAGAGGAGGAGTAGGAAGAGGAGTAGGAAGAGGAGGAGGAGGAGGAGAGGAGGAGGAGGAGGAGGAGGAGGAGGAGGAGGAATGGGACGTCTGTGGGACGTCTTTTGGGGCGGGGGAGCGCGCGTCCCGCCCCCCCACCCCCACCCGCCCGAGCGCGGTGCGAGGGAGGCCCCCGCCCCCGCGCGGGCCGAGGGCGCCGCGGCTGCCGCGCGCCCGCCCGCGCGGCAGCCGCCCGGCCTGCCGCGCAGGCCGCGGCTCGCCCGCAGCTGGCCATCGCTCGGACGTCCATTTCCCGTGCATTTTCCGGTCTCGTGCGTGTTTTCTGTTGCCCGATGGTCCAGGATGCTCCTCGATGGCTCTCGCCGAGGAAAAATGCACACGCCCGAGCGATGCCAAGCCTCAGGCCTGCAGCGAGGGGCGGGCCGAGGGGCCAGCGGCCGTGCGCGCGCCCTCGCCGCCCCGAGGTATGCGGCGGCGCGCCCTCGCCCGCCGGGCGGCGCGGCTCCGGCCGCCTCGCCGCCGCGCCCCGCCCGCTCGGCCGCGGCCCGCTGCGGTCTCGACCGATGGGCGCCGACCGCCCGCTCCTCGAGGCGGGCCCGCCGCTCCGCTCTGGTGACGAGGGCCTCCCCGTGCCCTCCCAGCACCGCCTCGGATGCAGCCGCGAGGGCGCCGCCCTCGCTGCTGTGAGGCCCTGATGGCCCGATGTCCCACGACCGCGACCATAGGTAAGAGAAGGAGGAGGAGGAGGAGGAGGAGGAGGAGGAGGAGGAGGAGGACCTCCCCATCCTCCTTTCTCCCCCGTCCTACTCATGGTAGTGGTGGTGGTGGCAACTTGACCCATCAAGGCTCGCGTACTTTCGTCGCGGCCGCACGGGCCAGGCGGCATGCTTGCTCAGCGCGTACTCCTGCCGCTGCGCGGTTCTCTGGCTGGGGCTGCCGCTCGACTTGCACGGGTTGAATCGGCCTGGTCTCGTTGGCGCTGTCCAAGTCCGAACTCCGCCCCTCCGCTGAGCTACTGGCCGCCGTCTGTGTCCGTCTCGCTAGTGCAGGGCCTGCTGTCCTCTTTGCCGCGTTGGCTATGCTAGCCCTGTGCGGCTCCTTGGCAGCCCTCTTGTGGCTCCCAGTCTGTGGTGGCGGGGCAAATGGCCGCGAAGCCGCCCCAGCGGTGCGCCCATGTTTCCCGCTGCGATTGCCGCTGAGCCCCGAGTCGACGCCCATGACTTCCTCCAACGTCTGGGCGCAGCCTAGGGTGGCTGTGGCGTCTGATCTGGTAGTGCATCCCGTTAGTTGTTGATCTTCTCCAATTCCGAATCCTGCTGTGTCGCACGTAGATGGAGACGTGTGCTGCGTGGTCGAGGGGCTGCGGTTCCTCGAAGTCTTCCTGGGTGCCGTTGGTCTCAATGCTGCTGCTCTGCCCGTCCTTGGCGCCCGTGCTTTTGGCCGTGCTGCAGTTGGGTGACGGTGGATATACTTCTCCTCCTCTCGTGCGCCAGCATCGTCTCCGCCCGCGCCTGGCGGCGTCGCCGCCTCCTCGCCTTTTGGCCCTCCTGCCGCGCCAGCCGCTGCAGCCGCCGCAGCCAGCATTGCCCCCTCAACCAGCACGCCGTTCGTCTCGTTAGCGCTGTCCTCCGCCTTTCCCGTCTGGGGTTCGGTTGGCTTGTCGAGGTCCTCTGTGGCCTCCTCGGGTGCAGTCCCCCCTTCATACTGGCAGGAGGGCCCGACAGCGAAACAGTGGTTGATGCCGCCACGGTTGTCGTCACGTCCGTCTTCAACACCATCTTGCCCCAGCTCGTCGGGCTCCCGCGACACCTGATGGTCCGCGAAGTGCTGGCGGGCGCCAGGCGCGCCTGGGCGCACGCGCCTGCGGTCCTGGCTGGAGCTCGCAGAGCTCCGGTGGTCGCCTGTCGGCGACTCGGACGTGGAGCGTGGGCTGGGGTCACTGGTGTTAGGTCGGGCATGTCCTCCTACAGGCGGAGAATGGAGGACAAATAAAAGATAGCCCAGGAATATGCAAGAATAGCCACAAATAGTCCAAACATCGTCCCATTTTTTTTTTCTACATTTGAACTTTCGGCAGTGGACAAGCCTCCCTTCAGTAAACCTCCCCTTAGTGCTTTGTGAAAACGGCCTGGGACCGAAACTGACGGACCTGGACCCGCAAAAAAGACGGCCGCGACGCCCTCTCGCGAACCGAAAACAGCCAATTCCTTAATCGACGTGTCAGGGTAGGAGGTCTATCAACCTCCGATCCTCCTCGCCTGTCTCCTCGTCTGCGTCACATGGGCGATTTCGGCAATCGGAGGAGGAGAAGGAGGAGGGGGAAGGAGGAGGAGGAGGAGGAGGAGGAGGAGGAGGAGGAGGAGGAGGGGGAAGGAGGAGGAGGAGGAGGAGGAGGGAGGAGGAGGAGGAGGAGGAGGGGAGGAGGAGGAGGAGGAGGGGAAGGAGGAGGAGGAGGAGGAGGAGGAGGAGGAGGAGAATGAGGAGGAGGAGAAGGACCTCTTCACACGGCGAGGTGGCGGCACCGTCGCGAGCGCTTGAGGCGGGGCACACGCAGCTGCACTGCCAACTGGCGCTGCACCGGGGGGGGCTCTGTCTGGGCAGTCCTCCTCCTCCTCCTCCTCCTCCTCCCTCCTCCTCCTCCTCCTCCTGCTCATCCTCCTCCTCCTCCCTCCTCCTCCCTCCTCCTCCTCCTCCTCCTCCTCCTCCTCCTCCTCCTCTATTCCTTTTCCTTATAGTCGGTGATGATTCTCGTCACGACGCGAGGAGGTCGGGCTTTCGGTCATATGGCAGATTCCGGAAACCCTGGGCCCAAAACTGTGTCTATCTCTTGGGGGCACATCTCCGCCGCCCTGCCGCCGGCTTCCGCCGGCTGCCGCCGGCGGAGGCGGCCTTGTTCTACGTCCGCCGACCTTCCGCCGCCCCTTCCGCCGCCTTCCGCGGCGGAAGAGATGGCATCTCTGTCTATCCTCGAAGGCAAAACCCTGTTTGGAACGCCCCACATGGGGTACTGGCGCGCCTCGGGGAGCGCGAACGCGAGCGGTCTTCATCAGCCAGGGGTTCCTCGTCGGGGTCCTCCTCTGCCCGACCTTCGCCTGCGTCGATCCTGCCCAGGAGCTCTCTCGCGACGCGTTCGTGGCGCTGGAGGTCCGCGAGCTCTCTGCAGTAATCGTCGCCCTCCTTGATGGCCAGCCTCTCCCAGCTCTCCTCTCGGAACGTGCGTGTGGCCTCCCAGACGTTCGCGCATAGTTCCTGCGCCTTATGCCACCTCGCACGCTCAGCGGCTGCGACTGTCATGCCTTCGTACAAAGCTGCATAATCGTCGTCGCGGAGGAGCTCCATGATATAGCGGGCACACTCGTCGTCCCACGTCGCGACCGCGTCCACCATGTGCCATGCCGCCATCTGCTCGAGGCGCCTGGCCACCCCCGCAGCTGCTGCTCCGCCTCGAGCCGAGTTTCTGCCCGCGTCTACAGGGGACTGTCGTGGTCTCCTGGGCCACATCCTGCCGACTCTCCACAATTTCTTGGGGTCTTCAGGCTGTCCGTCGCGCTGATGTGGTCGATGGTCCGCGCGACCATCCTGGCCACCTCCTCGGCGCAAGGGTGCGGTCTGCGTGGGCGGGTGCCGACTGGCGCGCGCATCTTCAGGCCGCCAGGCGTCAGTGCAGCTGGGGCCGCGCAGGCGCCTGGCCGTCCCCATCCCCACTAGGCCGCTGGGTCCTGGCCCGACCCTCCCGAGCTCTCCTGGCTGCTCGCTGGTGGTAGCGCGGGCGTATCCTGGGGCGTCCTCGGCCCAGGATTGCTGGGTCCCCTTGGGGCTGGGCTTCGACCACCCGCTCGTCAGTGGCCAGCCCTTGGGGTACATCACCTCCCACCGGCCGAGGGACCGCGGGCCCCATTCTCCTGAGAGGCTTCGGCCACCCTCTCGTCGGCGGCTCTGGGTGTGATCGGCTGCGGCTAGGCGGGCGGCTGTTGCCACGCGCGTCCGCGCTCGGCCGATGGCCGCCTGCGGTCCCTCGCGAGTCGTTCGTCCTGGGCATCTCCCTCTCGTCACTGGCGGGGTTCAGCTTGGGTCTAACACCGCTCTCGCAGTTGCATGCCCTCAGGGTCTGCATCTGGCTTGGGTCGGTCCTTTGCAGCCCACTGTGGTTCCATCGTCTCTTCGCGCA